AATATTTCTATATTTAATAAATTCATTAATTACCATGCAAATATTGAGTTTAAATTTTACTATTAAAACTAATACAACAACTAATTATGATTTTTTTATCAACTAATGATAACTATTATCATAAAAGTAAGGAATATTAGTTGAAGCAAAATAAAGGTTTTGAGAAAAATATTTTATATTAAAAAGATTGATGACTAGTTGTAGAATTTATCCTTAAAATTTTAAAAAATTTAGGTTTGCATTGAATTTTTTTTCAGAAGTTCAGGGGGGGTCACCGCCCCACTGGTCGACATTTGGTTCTGCCAATGACAACTATATGATTTGTGTCCTATGACCTAAAAAAAATTACATCCTTAAAATAAACAAAGGGTTTTTTTTTTTTTGCAGAACCCTCAAATCGCTCCTTAAAAAATATGGGTAGGGACGGATCCATTATTCAAAAAAAAGCAAGGACATTTGGCCCCCCAAAAGTATCGATTGACCAAAATCAGTCATTATTTAACAGATGACATCATCACCATCACGATCTCCATTGAGCCTGTGCTAGTGTATCATTTTTTTTACATGCTGGATGTTGATGTGTACCGTTTCATCATTTTTTTTTTTTACACTATGTCACTCATTTTTCATTTCATGGATCCCAACCTAATCCCAATTCATCAACTTCCTTCAGAAACCCTAATCCCAATTCGTCAAAGAAGAAAGGATGCATAAACAGAATTGAACCACTTTGGTACTTGCAGACTTCAGTGTTCCTTCGTCCACAAGTAGGGAAAAATAAACCACCCAAAAAATGCTTTTTCCTCTAACATGGTGTACACATGAAACCAATTACAATCTTCATCTTCCCAAACAGAGATTAGAAAACAATTTCTTGGAAAAATAAGAATTCTTCAAGCAAGGCAATGAACTATTAAAGTCAGTTGCAATGAAACGCAGTTTAATTCAATCTACAAAATGATGAAACTGTTAGCAACTACAGTAAAATTCAATTGAAAAATCAAAAACCCAGCTTTAGATCCATGTGAATTTCATAAATGCTTGGTGGGGATGTTTCATTTATTCGTCAGAAACCACGCTGAACTCGTCGTCTTCCATCGAAGCTGGTAAATTTATATCGATCGGAGACTTTTCTAGCTGGGTTGAAGTTGCAATTGCAGTTGTTGGGTTTGATGGAAGCATGTGAGATCTCTTGTGTCCACCAAGGGCTTGGCTCGACCCATCTTCTAGAGGAGGTTTCACTGGAAAATCACATCAAGAGCAGTAGCATCCTAGTGATGAAACCTTCCTTCAATGCAAAGATTCGCCATTTTGGCACCTCACAGTTGTGTGGAGAAACCGAGGAGAACAAAATTGGAAAGAGCAAGAAGGTCGAAATCGGCAAGATTGTCAAAGTTGATGAAAGAAGCAAAAAATTGATGAGATCGGATATTGGGAAGATGCAATTTGCAGGCGTGTCAGGCTACATGTCGTCGGATTCCAAGCTAGCGGCGTCGCAACGTAGAAATCCGACATGTATGCCTTCAAAGTGGTAATCCTCAAGCTGTTATCCGATTCTCTTCCCATATCTAAACTGAATCTAATTTAAAGATTTCTTTGAGGAATCGATCAAAACCCCAACATCTTAACTTTTTCTTCTTCTTTTTCCTCCTCCTCTGTTGTCTCCATCTTAACTTCTTTGACCTTCCAAACATCCCTTGAAATGAAAAAGGGGTGGCATAGTGTAAAAAAAAATGATGAGATGGTACACATCAGACTTCAACGTATAAAAAAAATGACATGCTCGTATGAGTTAAACGAAAATTGTGACGGTGATGACGTGGTAGTTAAATAATGGGTAATTTGAGTCAATTGATAATTTTGAAGGGCCAAATGTCCCTGCCTTTTTTTGAGAGGTGGATCCGTCTTTACCCATATTTTTTTAAGAGGCGATTTGAGGGTTTTGCCTTTTTTTTTTTTTTTTTTAAGTATATGTT